TCAGAAATTTATTTTCTTCAATTATATTCAGTAGCAGAACTGACTTGATAAATACTCATCATTACACTTATACAAAATTACAATACAAATAACAATTTTATTAATATGTATTTATTTAGAAAACTATATTCTTCAACTATATTCAGTAGCAAAACTACTCATCCATTTGTTATTAACTTAAATAAGTAATGAAAGTATGTCTTTTAAAATAGAAAATGATTTCCTCAATTTTATGCAGTAGCAAAAACTAATAGATTTAATAAATGCTCCAACTTGTATAGACTAAATAATAACAATAAAATTGTGTTAAATTGTACATTTTCAAAAATGTATTATCTTTAAATATATTCAGTAGCAGAACAAACATGATAAATACTCATCAAATGTTATTTATTTAAAAAAATAAAACTGAGCAGTAGCTAGTTATAAAGTCAAATCAAGTTTTTGATATGAGTTATAATAACTTAACTTAGCTAAAAAAAAATATAGTGTTAGATAATATTTGAGTTAGTAATTCAATAATTTCTTCTTATAAATCATTGTAATTAAAAATAAGTTATACTAATAAAATTAAAGTTATTAGTAAAAAGGTATACATAAATATCTTGCATTATGCTACATATAGTTTTTTCATTAATCAAATATTTTAATTACAATTACTATCGTGCAAATGCAGCGGCAATGTTTATTATCGCATAGATGAAACCAGTCTTTTAATTAGAATGAATTATAACATTGAATATTGTTTTATTATAATATTAATGATGAAAAATTAGCAGAACTCAATATTTATACTAAACTGCATAAATAAATTTAATAAGAATTGCACTTAACATATTCATATTTTCAGAAATTTATTCTCTTAAATTATTTTCAGTAGCAGAATTGACTTAATACTCATAATCAATATTATGTCAAATGCATGTATATATTTTTTAAAACCTTTGGAAGAAATGACGAACAGATAAGTCAACTTAATACTAAGCAAGAATATTCTGGAGATGATACCGAAGCTTATGATCAATATTTAAAGATATATTAATGAAAAAAAGTAAATTTAACAAAAGTTAAGTTGAATTATATCATTTTAAATTGTGTAATCATTTTATGAATTTGTATTTTTTTAGTTATGTTAATTAAGTTTCTTTAAATTAAATTTTAATTTATTTTCAAAAGAAAAACAGTCTTACCTCCATATGTCCCGTATGGTGCAGCATACGGCCCATATGCTGAAACAAAAAAGTTAAAAAAATAATTTTATTTTAAAATATTAAGTAGTTAATTTATTAAATAAGAAGTTAAAATCCCATTAATATTTTCAATTTCAAAAATAAACTTTAAAAAACTTATTTTCCCAAACAAAATTGATTTAAACCTTTTGTTTCAGCATAACTCAGTAATACCATAAATTCGAAATTAAAATTATCCCATCTTCTAAAATGTTTTTACAAAACTAAAAATGATGCATAGTAATTACTTGTTTCAGTTTTTGTTGAAGTCTTCATCAATCAATACTTAAATACAAGCTGAAGCATAAATAAAAAGACGCTGTAAAATTGCGTCTATAAGAACTTAAAAAGACTCGAAAATAATTGCAATACATAAAGTTTGAATAGAAGGTATTGCGACCCAGATAATTTAAGTTCAAATTTCAAACTAGTGAACATAGATTCAGCACAAATCTATTTTTGTAAATTTATAAACAGATGTAATGAAAAAATAAATGAAAAGTGTACATGGCAAAACTATTAAGCACATATAAAAGCTAATGCCAATAAGACTGTACAGTATCAATCAGTTCTCCTTTTTTTTTTGGTTTTCCCACTAACACTCACCTTTCACCTCTGGAATAAATATATTTACTGAAAATAATTTCATAAAAAACTAAAATGATTTAAATCAATACTCAATGAGTTACAAATTACAAGAAGTATACATAGATTTACAACAAAAAACCTGGGACGCAATACAAATTATTAATTTTGATCATTAATTTAACTAATAAAAATTTCATATAAATAGAAATGCTATTTTTTAGATTTAATTGAATACAACTTAAATCAAATTTAATGCAACCAAATTATAAAATAAAAACAAACATTACTTATTAATTAACTTATAAACCCTATACTAAATATTAAGTCTTAACTTTCTTAACATAGTTGATAAAAATTTCATAATTTTTCATTTTATATGATAATATTGATCAATAGCTTAAATATCAAACTGCTTAAAGGTTTATAATTTCCAAACATATACGAAAAATCAAATTGCATTACGCATCTGAAGCTGATTTGGATGAATATTTGGTCAAATTAAAGAAACTAATTAATTAAGGAGATGAATTGATAAATACAGAAAGGATGCATCATCATTACTACTTAAGGAGGAACAAAATTATAATTTATAATTAATATCTATTGATAATCAGTAAATTCAATTTTTTATAGCATTGGAATATTTCAAAATAAAATATTAATCTGAAATAGTTATAAAAAATACATAATACAATTCATGAAATTAATTATTTTAGCTCAAATTTTTCAATTCATGTTTGTATCTTAAAAAAGGCTACATATAAATAATTATATAAAAAATTTTATTTACCTCCACGGGCTGCTCCTCGTCCTCTCATTGCTTTGGGGTTAGCATATGGATTAGCAGGCTTAGGAGCTGCTTTTTTAACATCCACCTTTGAAAATATTAAAATTAAATATTTATAAAATAAATAATTAAATATTTAGTACATACTTCTTTGCCTTTAATAGTTTGTTTGGCAGTTTTAAAAAGATCTTGAACTTTATCACTTGATTCATAAGTGATAAAACAATAACCTTTACGTTGGTTTTTCATTTTATCAAAGGGAACTTCTAAGTTCACAATAACACCCCATTTTCCAAAAAATTCTTTAATTTCATCATTTGTAACATCAGACGGTAAACCACCAACAAACACCTTTTCTTGTTTGGCTTTAGCTTTTTTAGGATCAATTTTCTTGCCATTGATAACATGATCACCCGCTGCAAATGCCTACATAAAGCAAAAATTACGTTTACCAATTAAAGAAAAAAAAAATACAATAAAAAAAAAAAAATACTTTACATTATTTAATCCGTCAACAGACTTAAAAATTATAAAAGCAAATCCTCTGGAACGTCCAGTTGCAGGATCAGTCTTTAAACTAATGTTGGTGATTTCTCCATATTGAACAAAATGTTCTTTTAATTCCTCTGCAAATTAAATAAATATACAATTAATAAAATTTGCTGCAAGGTAGCTGTACAAATATCTGCTAAGAGTATGAGTGCATGGAAATTATCAAAACAATAGAAGAGGATAATATTATTAAAGTAAAAATTAATTTTTATTTGCAATTAAATATCTTAGGAGATTTAACAATATCTACATATTTTAATATAAATACTAAACAGTGATCAAAAAGTTGTGCACATCAAAATAAATGTATTTATAAATAGTGATTTTATTGAATTACCTATAAGCTTTTTTATATAAACATAACCAAATATTTAAAATGAATTTATACACACGCATTATAAATGTTTTTCAACAAACTCAAAATGGCCACCTTTTTTATTAATGCATGTAATACATATTGTTTTACCTTGTTTGTGACCACTTTATGGAATATGCTTACATTTATGAAGTTAATCTTTCCTTTAAGATAACCTCACAGAAAGAAATCTGGAGGTGTTAAATCAGAAGAACATTGCTATTGGAAAAATGATATGTTTACTAACAAATAATGACGTGTATAAATTTGTTTCTGGGAATACTTTTAGTGATATTTTCCTGTAGCTGATAAAAATAATTCAATTAAACTACTATTTGTAAACACATTTGTTTTAATGTGTGCAACTTTTAGATTTAAGATAATAAAATGTATTTGTAAAAAAAATAGTGTAGAAATTATTTTACATTAAAAAAAGCTCATTCTCAACCTAATTATAAAAAGAAAAAACATTACTCACTTTCTGTTGTTTCCCAGCTTAAACCGCCAACAAATAATTTCCTAAAATTAAATAAATCAAATTAGATAATACATTTATATATTATTTTTAATTAAGTTAAAATTGGATATAGTCAAGACAAGGAATTTATGATAAAATATTTTTAAGATTTTGCTGTTCATAAAAATAATAAAGATAAAGACCCATACAAGATAATAAATTATACGTTTATTTTCCCCAATATAAGATATTATAAGTAATAATCATAATTATAATAATAATAGTAATGTATAAATATAAGAAAAAAAAAACAAGTAAGTAATTTGTATCAAAATTTTTTTTTCCAAGTTTCTGATTTAATATACTATATAAAACACTGCTTTTGTACCTTATATGATTAAATTTGATTTCCCATGAAATGTTTAATTAATTAACAATGTACATAAAATAAATTATATAAACAACCTATTACCTAGCCATAAAATATATTTGTAGTAATTATATAGTAAAAAAAAAAAACAAAATGTATACTCCATGTAATACTGAAAGGACTTGGATTGGGAAAAAAAAAGAAAAGGATATTTATGATAGAAAAACTTTCAAATATATTTCATTTTACAATCATGAATTGTATTTGAAAGTTTTGTTTAATTGTAATATTTCTCATAGCTGCATTTTTATATATATAAATATAAAAAAAATTGGTAACAATACAATTATAAAACAAATTATTAAAAAATTCACTTTATAAATATTTGGAATTATAAAAAATAAAATACATAATTAATAATTTACATTTAAGCCCCAATAACAAAAAATTACAGCTAATCGAAATTCTAAAACTAAAAAGTAAAAAATCCAAATTAAAAATTAACATTAAAAAAACCGTATGAAAAAATAATGAACAATTATTGATTAAAAAAATTTATGATAAAAAATCTAAAATTTTTTTATGTCATTAATAAATGAATTATCTTCGTGTATATGCATTTAACTGTCTAAAGATAATCAGAATTGAGTTTATTAACTATTAACAGTTTTGAATGGATTTTTTACTTAATTATACTAATATACCACAACCACCATTGATTGTCTACTTATTTTGGAAGCAGACAATTAATGTGTATTTTTAATTATCAGGAGAATGAGGAAAATTTATTCCTACCAAAAAAAAATAAAAAAGAAAGTAAAGAAATTCTTTATATATATATATACACACATATATATATATATATATTAACTTAATAATAATATCCAATTACAAAAGTATTAGAATTACATTAGAACAAAATGTTTTTATATTTTTTTTTTTTAATACTACACAAGCAGGCCACAAATTGTAGTTCAAAACATAATCTTAGGCCAACAAATTCTGCAATGAATATCATGTGTGTATTATTTAGTGACGAGAACTGTAACATAATAAATTGCATAAATGTTTTTTTCTTGAACTTCAATATAATATTTACTCTAAAACAGTTTTTACTGAAACTCGATGCATAATTAATTATTTTAATTCATACTAAGTTATTAATACAGTTCATTCTCCATTTATTTATTGTTTAATACTTAATGATTCCTACCATTTGGTAGGTGATGATACTGCCAGTCGCCGCAATAAAATCAGTCAGCCATTGTCAAACGTATACCTGTTGTACAATGTGTCCATTATTTAAACATCCGTTCTTCAATGAATGACATGATCGTCACCTGCGCATATTTACACCACGTTGAAAGGTAATCGATACATAGGCCTATACGGTCCTGAAGAGACGCAGATTATCATGGAAAATAATTTACATGAACTTTTCTGCTTGTTCAAATTGTGTTATAATAGTTAAAATATTTTGTATGCATCCAAAGTTAAGGATCTTGAAGCCCATTGAGAAGAATTTGTAACCCTTGAGAAGTAGGCAAGCCAACTTGTAGATCTTCATTAAGTTAACATAATTATTAATATAAACATTATACGTTAACATGATTAATAATAATAAAATCAAACAAAAAATTTACAAATTAATCTAACTTAAGTTACATGATAAATAATTGATTTAGCCTAACCAATTTATTGTAAGTTACAAATTAAGTTAAGACTTAAAACTGTTATAAACCAATTTAAGGCTTTATGCTTTAAAATGAATACCAAACAATAATTTATTTAATAGTAGTAGCGTCTCTTTATGACCAATACAGAAATACTTACTTAGGATTTGTAGGTAACAGAAGAAATATTATAATTTTTAATAATAAAATTTAACACTGTTTCATTAATATATTACTATATATTGGATAACTCTTAATGCAGATCTAAATAAAAACTTTAGTAGGAAATTAAAATTAATGCTTGCGTGGAAAATTTGGAAAGAATACAACACAATTACTCTTTAATACCTACTAAATAATGGAAGTAAATAATTTTAAGTATATATATAAAGGTATATCAGGTAGTTGTATATATAACTAGGATCCAGGTTTATTTTAAATTGAATACCTAATGGTAAATGATTAATCAAATTACAAAATGTAATATAAGCTTGTACATATTTTATTTAAACAATATTAAGAAAATTTGAAGATTATTTAATTCCATACTGGTGTTTTTTAAATAAACTTATAACAAAATAGTTAAAAAGTTAGTCATTCTGATAATCTTAGGAATGGTTAATTAATGACATGCTAAAAATTTAATATTAGAAGAAAATAAGAAAAAAAAAATTCAAATCATAATAATTAATAAGCATGTACATTACATGCATACAATTTAGCAAAATATTAATTTATAAATTAACAATATGTAGGATGGATGTAATAATATACATTGTATTATACTGCCATGTATTAGATAAGACTACAATATTAGAAGTAAATTAAACTTGTAACTATTATTTCTTATTAAGGTTTGAAAATAATTTTTTAATTAAATATAACTAATTTAAATGACCTGATTAATAGCTATGATAAGTCTTAAGTACTTAATTCTCAAAATATATATTGTTTAGAAGATTAAGTTGGTTAATTAAGTGTGGTATTTCAAATGTAGCACAATTTACAACGGTTTAAACATTTAAATGTTAAATATGAGAAATACAATCTTATTTGTTAAATAGAAATTAAAATTCTCTTGCTTTATTTCATTTTTCACAAGTAATGTGATAGTTTTTAATGAGAAAAATATATTCTAATCTAAATTAATTTTTTTTTTAATATTCAATAACAAGACTATTTTTAATATAAATACATTAGTAAAAAAATACAATAATGAAAAAAAAAACTCAAAATAAACCTGAAACAGTAATAGAATATTCAAAAAAATAAAAAGTAAACCCACACTACAAAAATGTTATAAAATTATAAATGAGATAATACATATTACTTCTAATTAATACCCAATATTATTAAAATTTAGAATATCTAATAAGATTCTTTTGAATTGGGATAGAGACAATTTGATATAGAAATATAAGAACATTTACAAATATTGTAAAATATAGTCTTAATATCAATAAAATAGATAGATATTAATAAGACTAATAATGACTGTACTAGCAAAGTATTAAATACCCTTTATACTATGAAGATGCAACATCAACAGCATAAAAATTACAAGTACTACTAACAATGTATCACTGAGAATATTAATGGAAAAAACTAACAAACTTTAAATGGGTATTGCTACAAGATATATAAGAAACTGAACAATATCTGTGCATTTTCAACAAAACGTTATACGCAGATATTACAGCATTTGGTATACATAATTGCAGCATCTAGATCGGCAACTCAAAACGTATTTTAAATTAATTATCAAATGACGATTGCTATTGATTATTATAAAAGTAGTGAAGACGTTGAAAACGTCACGCGCAAAGGAAGGTAATCGGAGTAGAGGAATGTCCACGTTTGACAGTCTTCGCTGAGAAACGTACGTTGATCGTTGGAATTGGTTATATTTAATTAAACATTGAAATAAAGATATCCGCTTGAAACCAGAAAACTATTAAAAGTAACAACCGATGCAAAATGTTACCTGTCATCTTCCTTGACTTGTTCTTCTAAGCCGGATTGATCGACGCCATTGTTGTCGTTGGTGCCGTTGGTCTGTTCTTTCGGTTGTTCGTCCGACATATTCTCAGCAGTCTATCGGTGAGTTTCGGGTAGACTGTGTTTACCGTCACGCGTAGTCGGGGACGAGTAATGTAGCGGGTGACAGTAACAAAAGAAAAAAATTGATGGCAACGAAACGGGGCTGTTATACTAAAAAATTGTCTGAACGTAGGTACTGAATGGCAGGACGGAAGTTAAGGTAGGATAGCTATAGAAAATGGCCGCGGGCATCGATCGGAGTGTCGTAGTCAGACGCGGTCACGGGGTAACGCCGACCGTTTACAGTGTGACCATCCTATTCCGATAAATGTTCCATGTCATTCGACCGATAATCATTCTTCCAACCAAACAAATTCGATTTCTTACTGCTTTTACTTTTTTAGTTTTTATCGCCATGAAACGTCAGCAGTCTGGACTCTGGATGGAATATTATACATAATAATATAATATACATACGTCATACACGGATACACCATAGACCATAAAATAATATAAAAAAAAAAATTAATTATTATAAATAATTTTATAATATTAAAATAATTTGAAATTGTAGGTACGTCTGAACTTTGTACGTTATCGATTTTTATTGGGCATGATGTACCTATCAATTAATATTAATATACCTAACGATATGTAATAGCCAATAGGTACTGTACAATTATGATATATAATGTATAATTTATGTTATTGGTAAGATTTCACACATCGATATAAATTGTATCGTTTTGATTAATATTCTTATAAGTAGGTTCAGTAGCTATTTTTATAAGTCATAAATACTAAAGAGTAAATACATATAGTAGGTACCTACTTACATTAATTGAATTGTCATTTAATCTGTTGTGAGCACACTTCAAAAAAATTATGATAGGTAAATTGACAATTCGATAACTAATTAAACCCAATTAAATAAGGCAAATTGATGTTAAATTTGGTAATCTCGAATCCAATCATAATTTAATTATACCAAAATACTTTAATTTTCAACTTAGTGGGTGATTTCTAATAAAAAATTGAATCTAGTTGCTACTATCTACGGGAATTCAGGAAATAAAAATAAATAATTTCTTTTTACTTTTCAAAATAAATAGCAAAAAAAAAAAACTAAAAACTTTGTTTTGATAAAACCTTTCAAATTTTTTTATTTTGTAATTCAAATAGGTATGTATTATTTTAGAGATAATATTGACTAAAAATATTTATTTTATGTATAAATGTATGATAGGAAATTTATTTTTAAGTAAAAAAGCTAAACAATTTAATACAAAGTTCTTCAGTTCTATTGTCATAATTTTAAAGTATTGGAAATAATAGTCAACATTTTTTTTTAATAGAAGCGTTTAAAGTCGAAATATAGACAACATTTATCAAAATCACGAACATTCACATATTATTTTGTTATTAAAAATACATTTTAATTTTTACTTTAAGTTTTAATTTTGACGACATGGAATATATTCAAACTTATAAATACCTAGGTAGATTATTGGTAAATATACCTATAGGCTATAGGCCATAATATAATATGAGCTTAAAGGTATTCTCCCTTAACGATTTTTATCCTGTTAATTGTTATTATTCAAAAAATATTCATTGCAGATATTCTAAAGTAACTTATTATAATCGATTATTATATTAAATTATCGTTTTCTACTTATAGATACTTTAAAAATGCTTAAACTAATTTTAAGCTGTTGATAGGTATTTGAAAATTTTTAATTTTTTTTTTGTAAATGATATTTAAAATTTTATTTTAATGCGTTAATAAATGCTAAAATACATATGTAAAATTTTTTTTTTATAAAAATATGGGCTTTGAAAATTTGAAATAGTACTATATTAAATCATGGGTAGATTTATAAACAAAAATAATAATATGGGTATTGGGGGAGGGCTTTAGCCCGTTAGCCCCCTTCCCACTGTGTATGCTATTGGATCAATTGCAGGTACCTACAATGTGTATGAAAAAATTAATAAATACTATAACAATGCGTTAATTAATCATGTACCAATGTTAAATGATAACAATTAACATCACTACTGTTAATCTTGCTGTGTTCTCATGCAAATCGATGTAACACACTATTTTTTTTTTTTTTGTAGTTACCCAAAGAAGGAGGTTATAAGTATATAATAATTTTATTTATTCTCTAAGAGAAGTATGGATCATATATAGTTTAACACAAAATTCCTTCATTATTTAATATAGGTACATATCATAGGTACTTACCTAGTGTTGGTACAAAGACTTATAGTATTATTATTCAGTTAATTGTACTTATTAAACTAATAAAATATGAATAAACGAACATTTTATATAGGTATAATTAGCTCTTTGAAAAATTATTGTTACATAAAATCGCATTTAAATTTGGCTAATAGCAATATTTAGCTGCGAATATTTTACATTATGTTCATATATATAAATATATTATTATTTATTACTTATAATTTTATAAATATACTATATCATAATTGCTAATAGTTACCTCGTAGAGTTTGTTTATTATTTTAATTTTTGATGAACTTTTATTAACTAAATTCTAAATTGAAAACATACACTTATTTTTTTTCGTAGTTATTACAAAATTAAAATGGAGGTAATTTTATTAATTTATAAATAATAAATTTAATATGCTTCTTATTTTTGACAGTTTATTACATAATATATCGATAAAATCTAATTTAAATATTTTATTTTTAGCATACTGCTAAAGTTAAACGGAATTTATGGAGTATTTGTAACAAAATTCGAGAGGTAGTAAATTTCATCAAATTTAATTTTTGGGAATATTATTCAATATATGATACAAAAAAGACTGGATACGTAACAGGTATTTATAATTAAATATTTTTTTAACAATTGAATGCTTGAATACTTGTACAATAAATTAAGTATTTATTAATATACTTTTAATTGAGTTTTCAAATTCAAAAATACATTGTCTGGACCATTAAAATCTATTATTAATTTAAATGATGAGGAAATACAACTGCTAGTCAACTATTTTGAAAAATCCAATGGACAAGTACCATATGGACAATTTTGCGAAATTATACACGAGTCAAATCTACCAATAAATGAGGGTATATAACATTTTGTACAAAACTATTATTAACGATTAATATTATATAAGTTGGCATACCACATTTTAGTTGTTTTCAATGTAATAGCTAACATGTACTTTGTAAGTAGGTACAACTTTTAAGTTGTATAGTGTTTTTACTTAATTGTATACTTATATAATTATGTGATATATGTGGTTTTGTCGTTTTGTGTAATTATAAACTTAAGATTATATTATATGCTTCCAAGATAGGTAATAAAGTTGATTAAATAACATGCATCAGAATATTAAAAAAAGTATTTATTTTGTTTAATGCTTAAATAAATAATAATAATAATTGAATATACTATTATAGAATTACCTTCCAGTAAAATAATTGATGAAAATGTCAACTATACAATACAAGATTTACCCCGTTTAAATATAATGAAAACTATTTCTAGTAATTTAAATATATCAAGTATTTTCTTAGAACCTCATTTTGAAGACTATGAAGAAGTATTAATTAATCTTACAACTTGGTTGGTAATTAATTATTACTTTATTTCAAACTCTGTTTTAGTTGACCGGTAATGATGGACTGATGACTATAAAACAGTTTACGGATATGTTATACGCTTTAAAAATTCAAATTTCTCCACCAGAAATGCATCTTATTATTGATAAATTTATTGTGTATAGTTATATGATTGATAAAAAACAATTTTTTGATGAATTGAACTGGGTGAAAAAAAATGACCCACAATCAATTTTTACTGATGTAAGTATTATGATTACATTTGGCAATTTCCACTGTTTTATTACCATTTTAGTTACTTACTAGGTAACATAAATTAACCATTGTGATTCAAAATAAAATATGGTAATGGCTAACAATAACAAACAAATATACAATATATTTTTAACCATAAACATTAAAGAAATATTATTATAACGTAATATAATAACTGTTATAAAGTATAATATAGTAATATAATATAAACCTGTCAAATACATTATTTTATTGACATAGGTAAAGTAAAGTAACCTATTTCGATATTGCTGTATTAGTAGTTATTTATAAATAAAAATAAAATAAATAAAATTCATGAAAGTTAATAATTATTTATATTTTATTTTAATACTTATTTTTACTATTTAACTATAATACTTTATTCTAATTATTTATTTTTTAAATTATGATATTGATTATAAGTAGTTTGATACCATATTATAAATGGTAATAGTAAATATAATTATTTTTATAAAATATACTTAAATAATAAATATTAAGTGTAGGTACATACTACCTATTACATTTTTTTTTTTTTTAATTTATAATATTAATTTATTTTGTTGTAGATCCTTAAATTAAGGATAAAATAAATACCTATCAGAATAATTAGATTATATTATAGGGTAAAAACATTGTCATTAAAATTATTCATAAAATTAAAATATTTTACATAATTGTCTAACATAGACAATATTTTAACTAGGTATCAACTACCTAATTAATTATGGAAGACAAAGTTTTTGCTAAATAATTCATTGATTGAATAATATTTATCTTTAATACAAAATTATAAATAGAAGTATTAAATTAAAGTCATAATTATCTATTTGGCCATTTCCAGTTTGCTGTCGTTTGTTCATTAGGTTTAAGTAAATGTGGAATTTCTTTCAAACAATTTTTTGCCCACTCAGGTAATAGATGTCTGTCTTTTTGATCATATACCATAACTACTCCTTGAGTTGTTTCACATTTCACTTTACCAGTAGTTGTGTCAAGTTTGACTAGTGATCCATCTCCATAATTTATACAAATTTCACCAGATTTAATTAAAAATGAACTTTTTAACTTACAGTTTGTTGGTTTATCAGATTTATCTTTTGCTTCTTTTGCTATAGGTCTCCTTCCTAGTGTCACTGGAAACACAGTTATACCACTGTTAGCATTTATATCAAGAGTACACAAAGTTTTTTCAACTAAGCAACAATGTTCATAGTATTTCTTGAATTGAATGTAAATTATTTTATCAGATTCATCTAAACATTCTGGTCGACTAAAAGATTTTGATTTTCCATTTACAACTATTTTTATGTCTCCATTTCCAAGACTTGATACCATAGATCCATTATAAAAATGTGCTTCAAATGCTTTTCCATCTTCCATAAGAAGACATTTTGCCTCATCACTGTAAAAAACAACTTTTGCCGTCTTAGAAGCAATAAGCTTAACAAATTGAGCAGCATATGCATATTTTTTCCAATGATGCTGAGGAAGTGATTCATAACTATATACTTCATCAGCTCCTTTAACTGGTATAGGTGGAGGTTCGTCATGCAATGTCACTCCTCTATCTTTATTTGGTCTGTATATAACCATATGTTGACCATCAGAAGAAATACGTATTACTTCTACAACTCGTTCTTCTTTGGATTTGGATTTCATTTTAATAAACTCTACACAAACATCTCCATTATTTAAAATACTTAACACTTTATTTTTTGTTTTATGTCTGTGTTTTTGTAGGCGTACTGTATTTAAACATTCAGCCATTCTATTTGATGAACTTGTTTCAGGAAAGGTTTTAAACGACTGTAGAAATTTATCATCAAACACAGTAAACTGTCTATTTTCTGAATGTTGTGATGGAGTTACATGGTACACATTTTGGAAATTATTACTGTGTTTATGAAAACTTTTTATTATATTTGGAGTGCAGCATTCTTCTTTATTAGCTTCTGTATTAAAATGGAAATCTCTACAACTTGATAATACATTTAAGTTAGAATTTCCGGTATGATGATTAATTTCAATACTAGGATTATGAATTGAACGTACATAATTTAAGCCAGTTGAAGAACTACATTTTTCTTTATTAAATGAAATTGTATTGAAACCACTATCTTCAGTAAAATGTGATTGATGAAACCATATAGAAGGTCTATCACAAATAATTTTTTCTTGCATGAAATCATGTTTTAACACACCATGCAAATCAATACGATCCCTTGGGTTTTTCCTAAGCAAACAATTTATCAAGTCTTTAGCTTTGTTCGATAAATAGTTTGGTAAAGAAAAATTACTCATCACAACTTTTGTAAGTGTGCTTTTAATAGCATCAGTGTCAAATGGAGGATGTCCCACTAACAAAGTATACAATAAACATCCCAATCCCCATAAATCTGTTTCTAAACCATGTGAACTTCGAGTGGCAACTTCTGGTGATATATAATTTGGAGTTCCGCACATTGTCATATGTTTTTCATCCTTAGAATTTAATTGAGTTGCAAGACCAAAATCAGCAATTTTTATACGCATGTCTTTTGTTAATAATAAGTTTGTTAAAGTCATATCTCTGTGCACTATATTATGTTTATGTAAGTATAAAAGACCTTCAACTACTTGTCTTATAATATACCGTGCTTCAATTTCGGATAATTTGTTTCCATTACGTTTTAAATATTGGAGCAACTCCCCATTATGACAAAGTTCTAATACTAAATAAACATGCCGGCAATCTTCAAAAAATGTATACAACTCTAAAATAGATGGATGTTTAAGTTGGCTATGTATTTTTACTTCTTGGCGAACACGATCAATCATATTCTGTTTTTTCATCGTCCAAATATCAATTTCCTTGATAGCAACATGACGACCAGTGTGGCAGCATTGAGCATGATAAACACACGCAAAACCACCTTTACCCAAAAGTTCCAATTTTTCATAGCCATCTATACTATCAGATAATGGTATTGTTTTGTAAGGCAACATTGATATTTTCTAAAACAAAAAATGTTATGACTATTATTTAATATAATTTTTAAAAATGTATTTTTATCAAATTAAATTTATAAATGAAATTGCATAAACTCTGTTATAAATGATAGAATCTTTAAGAGTTTTAATGTTGTGATTAAAAAAAGATATATATTTTATTTATTTGCAAATATAATACTATCACATACCTAGATTAACAGGTTGTCGTTTTTAACACCCTGACCATAATGCATGTTATTTGAATATACAGAATTAAAATTAAACTAAAACCATTTTATTGTTATGATATACATCATTATAATGTCATTGCATAAAAATGTATAGATTTATTATTTTATTTGGGTTAATAAACTAAATAATATAAATCAATTTTTAATTACTAAAAAATGTAATTTATATTTTAAAGGTAAGCATAAAAGACAAAATTAAAGAAAATGGTACGAGATCATACAGTAATAAAAATGTTTATCACCCAGTAATAGCAAATAAAACACATAAAAAGGATAATGTGTTAACAATATTGAGAAATCTTCAAAAACTTGTTTTAGTAAATCGAATTAATATTGGACAATTTTTTAAAGTTAGAAAATTGATATGTTTAAATTAAATTGAAAATACATATATATTAACTATTTCATATAATATAGACATTTGATCCTCATGAAAAAGGACATGTAACTGAAACACAATTCCGCAGGTGTTTAGACATGATAGGTGTCAGTTCATTAGGTTCAATATACTATCCGGAGAAAGAATTATCTGTATTGTTGCTTATGTATAAAGATAAAGAATGTCCTGAAAGAATCAACTGGAAACACTTTGAAGATGAAATAAATACTGGTATAATAAAAAATTATATATTTAAATATCCAATTTTGGAATAAATCATTTTGTATTTACATAAAACATACCTAATACTATGATTATTTTTAATTATAATTTATAAATAAATATCATGATCTAACTTTAAGTATTTAATATAGTATAAATAGATTAATAATATCTTAAATATAGGTACCTTTTTTCCTTTTAATTGTTCAGAATTTCAATTAGATATATCTTGTAGTGTCTTCATTTTTAATGGAAATTAAAAAATTAAAAACTAATCACTTTTTTTAATAGCTTAAATTGTGGTTTAGCATCAAATATTAAAAAAGATATTAGGTCATTACCCATTAGGATTTAGGAATTTAGGAAAAACTAATATGTATAAATTTTTATTTAAACTAAAACTGATTTACTAATAATTTGTTTACATTATCGTAAATTCAAATGATAACGGATTCGAGATTATCACATTTTACTACACCAGATAAGATAGCCATATTTTTAAGAATCATGGAAGAAATATTTAATAGAGGTGCTTAGACTTATTTTTGTAGGTATTGAATATTAATGGCTTTAATATTGAACATTTGAAACACTGAATTTAGTATTCAGTAATATAAAATATTGATTTATTATTATTATCATATAAATTAAAATTTTAGGGTGAGAATGTTATTTAGAATATCCAGTAATATTTTATTCACATTTAAACTTTAAAGTACCTAGCAAAATTTTTATAACTCAATTTAAAATTAAAATATCAAAAAAAAAACCTAAATAAAATGTCCTAGCTAGTCCGGTTTGACCATATTATTCTTTCCTTTAATAGTTTTATTATAGTTTAATTAAAGCTAACAAATTACTTGTGGTAATCAAATCACAAGTAAAAATTTTGTTACAAAAATGGTTTTACAAATGAGTAGGTACCTAATTAATTCGTAGTAATTCATAACCACAAATTTGGAAAATTGATTTTGAGCGATTATACTTGAATTACAAATTCCATATTTGTAGACTTATAATTACAAATTATTGCGAATTAGTTACTAATTTGTGATACCATTTTTATAATAAAATTTTTACTTTATAGTGCTACAGGGTCATTGACCTTAAATTAATTCTGCTGAACAATCTGGACATAAATCTGGTATACCTATTATACGCTCGTAAGAATTTAGACAATATGTATGCTAGTATACGTCAATTCAAATATCACTATGGCACTATCATCCATGTTATTACAACAGTTAAAAAAATTCATTGTTAACAGTAATTAAACAAATAAGTAGGTAATAAAAATAAAACCTTTCATAGAAAATTTTAATAAAATTTAAGCAGTTAATAATCCTTAAACTAGTCGACATAACACATTTACCAACAATTTATTAAAGGTTATATTACTTGTTAACATTTATAGGTCATATAATTAGTAAATATCTTATTAGGTAGGTACCTATTACACTATTAATGTAGGTAGGTACTACTTTTTTGTAAAGTACAATTTATGTTGTGTATTATATAAAATACAAATACACAACACGATTTATACCTAAACATTATTCTATATCTATAGATACTACTCTATAGATATATTACCTATCATAGGTTTTCAAAGGAAAGTTACCTACTATTTTTGATATGCATACAGCATACCTAACCATTGAAATAGGTTAAAAATGTTTTCTTATTTCTAAACATTTTGGAATTATAGTCAGCTGAGTATGATAAAATTTAACTTAATATTTTTTACAGCACATTTTAGAACAACTTCTAGTTTTTATGCCATTCGATCAATAGCTTAAACAATATTGATTAATCAAATTCATTCAAAAATGTTTACTACTAAAAGACAATTAAAATTAAATTTATATTGTTTTATTTTACTTATAAATTAATAGTAATTTTTTTTTCGTGTGGGAAATAGTATTTATGGAAAAAAACTTGGAAAAATCTTCGGATATAGAAGTAAAATGCGATCGAAATGTGAACGAAATGCTTCGAGTAAAAGGACAAGATTGGGATGCAGTGGAATTAAATTTACGTATTTTATTTAATAAAACAATAATTAATATAAACAATTATTTAAACGAAAATAGAATAATGCTAGAACAGTATTTCAAGGTTTTTGATAAGTAATAAAATATTTGTATTTAATAAAGAATTAATTTTACTCATATTAATATATTATTAAATTGAACAAACATAGAAATAATCATGGTCACATATCCAGATCTGATTTTCGTCGAGCCATGTACATAGCCGGTATTAAATGTACAGAAGATGAACTTAGTATTCTCGAAAAAAAATTTATGAACGTAGATGGTTTTAACTATTTGCAATTATTAAAAATGTTAATTAATATTAATAAGAAGCTTAAGACATGTTCAGTAAGTAATAATGTATGAAAATAATACATTTATATGAGTTTCAGAGTACGGTTTAGACGTATATAGAAGAACAGAGACAGAGAGCCAAATATTATTTATAATTTGATACGTGTCCATATATCTTTAAATTGTACAAAAAAATAAAAATATTTATAATTGTAATACAAATTTAAACACTTAAAATGTTATTATATAAGCTGTTAATAATAAATTAAATTTGTACTTGATTGCTTCTTAGTTGGTTCAATTTTTATAATTATGTTTTTATCAAACATTTAAATTAAATAGTAGTAAAAAGTATTTATTCAAATTTTAAAATATTTTATAGGTATGTACTACTTACATAATAAAGATATATTTTTATTTTTTATGATTATAGCTAATATAAATAGGCTATTGAAATAAAATAATTAATTTTGTACTAAAAAGTTGAAATAGTGTATTTTAAAACGTATGTTAGATATTTTTTATTTTTTAATTACATATTTTAGATGAAAAACACGAAAATTAACATTGATAATGATTATATCTCTTCAAAATCAACTAAAAAAATAAGCAATAATATGACATTAAATAGATTAATTATCAAAATAAAAACAAAGGTAATTTTAATTTAGTTTTTATTGATTATTAATGAAGTTGGCTTATTTATAATTAAAGTATAATTTGAAACTAGATAAAAAGAGAAAGAATTAAATTTGATCAATTTTTGAATCAATTTGATTTTTCAAATCATAGAGTCATGTCAAAAGATACTTTGCAACGTGGACTAGATATGGCAGGCATTAAACTCGATTCAAATGAACTAGAAATACTAATAAATGAGTAAGTATAAATTTTGTTTTAAAAGAGACTACTCAGATTTTGTTATATCAAATGGTGACAAGTATAGCAGAGGTAAATTTTGACTTAGTCTTATTTATGTAAAATCTAAAGTCCTATTTAAACTCATCGGTTAGGTTAGATTGCTGAAAACTTGTTGGCAAACTAGTTATAGATATATATCATTGTAACATATACGATATATTCGTGCGAAAATTGGAAAGTAATGTTTATAATTTAATAGATATTGATTATTGTTAATTGTTTTGTATTAGTACCTATATATATTATATATTTTAAGCTGATACGGTACGCAAAGGTCGCCATTCATATGCTAAATTATTTCAGATTTGAATCAAAAACACATCCGGGCCAGGTGGATTATCATCGTTTTTGTAACACGATGGAGGAAGCATTCGTTACATTGGGTTTAGATAAAAATACGCACTTGGACCCTAATGAATACATAACTTCGTATGAAGGTTTAAGTAATTATTTAACCGACGAACAAAGAAGCGCTGTTGATTCTGCATTGAAAAAATTGCGTAGTAAACCAAATATCGGTTTAGATGATTTGTTCAAAGATTACGACAAACATCGTCAAGGAATTGTGTCGAAGCAAGAATTTTTAGGCGCTCTAACTGTTCGGAAATTGAACATGTTATTGTCGATTTATGAAGTAAAATGTTTGGCAGAAATGTTTAGCAAAGATGATCGTCCAAATTCTTTTAACTATCGAGACTTTATGAAGGCTATTGCAAATCGCTGAATTTATTATTTAAACATAAATTCCCCCCACTCTGTATGCCAAACAACTCGTGGGCCATCGCTGACTCTACCAAAATTTAAATTTTTTAATTTTATACAAAATTTATAATTTTAAATTTTAAGTTTTATTTTTATTATTTTAAACATAAATTCCCCCCCCACTCCGTATGCCAATCAACTCGTGGGCCACCTCTAACTCTGCTAAAATTTTCGCTTGAACACTTAGCTAACGTTTTCAAACCACACAATATTATTCCAAATAAAAATCATACTCTAAATATTACTAGATTTCTTGAATCCCCTCTTCCCATGACCCTCCCTGCTTAACATACTAGCCCGGGTGAAATTCAATACATCATCCGTAAACTCCCAACCAAAAAAGCCTCTGGGCACGATCTAATAAGCAACTTGGTTGTCAAATCTTCCTCCCTGAAAAATCTATCATTCTTTTAGCACTAATATTCAACTCTATATTTCGTTTATCCTACTTTCCTTCAGCCTGAAAACATTCTAACATAATATTAATTCCAAAACCGGACAAACCGCCTGATATCCAATCTTCTCATGGACCAATCTCTCTCCTCCCCACATTCGCTAAAATTGTTGAAAAAATACTCCTTAAAAGGCTACTTCCATTATTGGACAAATTCAACATAATCCCAAACCACCAATTTGGATTCAGGTCTAAGCATTCCACCATCCACCAACTCCACAGCACTGTCGACCTAATATCTTCCAACATGGAATCAAAACTATATTGTGCGGCTGTACTCCTTTACGTGGCTCAGGCCTTCGACAAGGTGTGGTATGAAGGACTTCTTTTCAAGCTCAAAAAATTCCTCCCTGCCCCTTACTTAATAAATAATTTTCCAAGCAACTCGCACGTGAATAGCATACAGAGCGTGCCAGATGACGTTTTCAATTCTTCCGAAGAAATTAACAAAGTCGGTTTTGAAACACCTCTGAAATCAAAAAACACCTCTAAACGTAATCATTCGTCTACGGACTCTCTGGACGCCAAGAAAATGTTCATTACCCCTAACAGATATGCCCCACTTATAATAAATAATAGCCAAAATGAACACAATTTCGCCGAAAACGAAAATGACGCACAAATAAATGACATAAACATTGAAGCCGATGAAATACAAAATATCAAACAAAAACTTCCCCCTCCAATCATTGTCAAAGGTGTACTAGAATTTGTTGGTTTTCGAAACAAGTTGATCAATTTAATCGGCCCGGAAAATTTCACATTCAAATCGTCTACCAACTATTTAAAAGTCCAAATTACCAAACCTGAATTTTACCGCGAAACAATTCGTTTCCTAAAAGAAAAAAACGCACAATACCATACTTACCAATCACAGGATGACAAAGCATATCGAATAGTTATCCGTAACCTTCACCCGACCACCCCAACAGTGGAGATCGGAGTCGCTATCGAGGAAATTGGATTTTCGGTACGTCAAGTAACAAATGTTCGTCATAAAACAACGAAAATTAATCTTCCTATATTTTTTGTCGACCTTGTACCAGCGACAATTAATACTGATATATTCAGTGTAACTTCACTTCTCCACACTAAAGTAAAAATAGAAGAACCACACAAACGAACAGACATAATCCAATGCATGAACTGCCAAGATTATGGCCACTCAAGAAAATATTGTTCCTACACACCAAGACGTGTCCGTTGCGGCGAAGAACATCCAACTTCCCAGTCTGTCAAAACCAAGGACTTGCCGGCCAAATGTGCTCTCTGTATGGGTAATCATCCAGCAAACTACAAGGGCTGTCAAGTATATAAAAATCTCCAACAACTTCGTAAGCCTACTTCAAATAAAAATAGTAACTATACAAATAGAATTTCTGTTAAAAATGTTAATAATGTTAATGTTAAAAATACCGATTGTGAAACCACCCAACAGCCCACTACCAACACGTTCAAACCCCAAAGACCCAACTATACATACGCACAGGCTACCTCACCCAATAATTCATACCAAATACCAAGTAATTCTTTGAATGAAAATGTACTTTTTAACTTTCTCAATGAGTTTAAATCACTCATAAGCTCACTACTGTCTTTACTCACCACAGTTCTTAACAGTCTATTAAATCAAAATGTTAAATAACTCATTTACTTCTCACTCATTAGCCATCCTTATGTGGAACGCCAATGGATTAACAAATCATAAAAACGAACTTATATTAACACTAAATGAAAAAAGAATATAGACTTAGCTTTAATCTCCGAAACACATTTTACTACAAATACTAAATTTTCAATACCTGGTTATAATATAATCACCTCAAACCATCCTGACAACACCTCCCATGCTAGTGCCGCAATTATTATAAAATTCTCACTACTATACATATACCACCCTTCCTAATATACAAGAAAACTACCTGCAAACTGCTATTCTGTCAATAAAATTAAATCACATTCCAATTACTATTTCCGCAACATACTGTCCACCCAAACACAAAATTACGCCACAACAGTACGAAAACTTTTTTAACTATTTAGGCCACTATTTTATAGTCGGTGGGGACCTAAATGCCAAAAATCAATCCTGGGGCTGCCACACGTCTAACCCAAAAGGACGCACTTAATTCTAAATAGTTAATCGAAAAAATTATACCATATTAGCTCCCCCCCCGATCCAACTTACTGGCCAATGTATATAAATAAACGCCCAGATATCTTAGACATATTTGTAGTAAATATCCCTACGAGCTTACAAAGTGTCATAAGTAACTATTTAGAACTATGCTCAGACCATACCTCAGTCCTTCTATCTCTAGATACTCAACCTCCCCTACGGCCCCGACAAGCTTGCCTTACAGATGGTATTACGGACTGGAATAAATTCCACGAAATAATTGAACAAAACATCAACCTAAAAATCCGACTAAAGTGTCCAAACGAATTTGAAAACGCTGTCCAACATTTTACGGAAATAATCCAAACAGCTGCTTGGAGTTCCACTATTAAAAAACCGCGGAAAGCCCAAAACTCTTTCCCATTTCTCACTCATGTCCGTGAACTCATAACAAAAAAACGACGTGTCAGATCCCTCTGGCAACACACCCGTCTCCCGTCTGATAAGCAATC